CAAATAACTTACTTTCTAATTTGAGACAGAAATATTGAATAATTAATGATAGAAAATACAAGAAAAGTTATTAATTACAAGAACAGCTATTAAAAACGTACTCAGAATGGAAAAAATTGATAATTACATTGTTATGTATACAGAATAATTCACATTGTTGATAAAAACGAAATACAAAATAAGCAATAACGTTCAACTAATCAAGCTTCCAAGGAGCACCAGCACTCACTTATTTTAAATAATGACTCTGTAGCTAAATATTGATAACAGCGCAAAAGTTCAAGTTGAAAAATTTTCCTTTGTTTATATTTGAAAGTGGCTTGTGTGATGATCACGTACTTTAACTTATCTTTGATTCCTTTATTCCGGAAACAATAATAGGATGATCTTTGTATATTTCTTCGAGTGAATGACTTTTTGAAATTTGATAAAACTGTTAGTATCTTAAGAACATAATCCTTTGTGGAGATAACGATGCTTTTATGGAAAGTATTTTACTTTCTTTTTATCGCATGACCTTTCTCTTTGATGACCGCAACTGGGATATCTCGACACTTATAGAGGGTCACAAATAACCAGATCACGTTTTATTCTTAAAATTAGTACCAGTAGGACTAGTTTTAAGATAGACTAACACGCGATTCCTCACTTTGATAGATCGATGAAGCCAGAAAATGAGTCGAATTGATATTTCACAAGGGTGGGTTACTGTTAAAAAATAAAATTCTATATTTGATTTTTATCTAAATGTATTTACTTGTGTTTACAATCTTTACAATTGAAAACGTTTGTATTATAAAATTTTTGTGTAAAATGAAAAATAAAAGGAAATAGGATAATGTAAAACTATTCTTTTTATAAAAAGTAGAGTTTTTATGTTTTACTCCGAAAACTTTTTAACATCTTATCCTTTTTTATTATATATTTTAATTTGAGTTTTTAGTTTGAGTCTTTATTTGATATGTCGAGTAAGAAATAAGTATTATAGACTACGTTGTTTCTTAAAATTCATTTATGAGGCATATGCTTTAGCCATTTCTTTCAACTGCTTACGGGATTTTTTCCCTGTTGATGTGTAAATCAAGTTATCTAGAAATATTACACCACCTGTCAATCGATAATACTCATTAAGATATGTAGGTAATTCCACTAGTTCTTCTGCTGTAACCTATGTGTCAGAGAATTTATAAAGTACAAATTACAAAAATGTTAATTCAATGTTAAAATGTTTTAACCACATACTTTGACTCCAGGAGTTTTAACTACAAATGCGAATGGCCTTTCAACATCAATCTTATGAGGTACTGGCACTACCACGCAATCTGCCACACCAGGATGTCGTAAAAGTATTTCTTCTATTTCCGAGGGCGATACATGATGATTTTGCGTTATTATAACTTCTTTAATTCGATCTACTATTATTACTTCACCGTTATCATCGTAGTAGCCTAAATCACCACTATGTACCCAACCTAAATCAAAGTATCATTCAGAGTGTTATACATAAAAATGTGGTTTACACATTTTTCTTGTTTACCTTCATTATCTATCATTTTTTGGGTCTCTTCTAGATTGTTTAAATATCCAAGCATTATGTTTTTCAACTTAAAGCAAATCTCGCCACATTGATTTGGACCAAGTGCATGACCTTTTTTTAAATCTATAATTTTAAGTGTTACGCCTTTATACACATATCCAATGGAATCGAGTCTTTTACGGTTTTTAGTTTGTTGCACAGTGAGTCCTCCGACCTCCGTCATGCCTACAAATTTGGTCCAATTGAAGTAAAAGTAATGTTATGTAATCTGCTTCTTCGTAACAAAATTTAAACATAAATGAATTTTCATTACCAAAGCTGTTTATAATAAAAGTTTGAGGAATAAGTTTTTGACAATCCTCCATAATTGTTTTAGAAATCATTGATCCTCCAATTAATATGGACTCAACGCTTGAGTAATTGTAATGAGAAAACAAATTGTCTTTGTAACATTGAGTTAACATTGTCGGGGTCCAAAATATCCAATTCACCTAAAAATGTATTGAAAAATTAAAAAATTGATAGTGAAGTATATATTTTTCAAGGAAAGATTTCTCTCATACCCTGTACTTTTCTACAATTTTACATGTTTCTACGGGATTGAACTCTCTGTGCAATATTCTCGTACAACGCAACCGAATGCACGCTGTCACTAAGTTTGTACCAGTTATCCAAGATAAATTCGAATACCAAAGGCAATTAAGATCGCTACGTAAAGCGCAACCCTCCATGCGATTGTTCACTATGGTATCGTAGGAAAGTAAAGTGCCTTTCGGAGTACCTGTCGTTCCTGATGAAAAGTATATCACACCAACTTGTTTTGTTGGATCTTCTGGTTTGATAGGTTTAAAATTATTAACTTCATTCTGCGTTTGCTGTGCTATTAAGTCTTCCAGTGACAAATATTTATGATGTGTCCCATAGACTACGAATTGACAATTCATTTGCAAATCTTCAGCTATTTGAGCCAGAAAATCGATAGACTGTTCACTAGCAAAAATTATCTTAGGCCGACACATATTGAGGAAACGTCGCGCATTATCTGAAAAAGTCAGTTTATAAAATATACGTATACAAAAATAGCCAGCTTAAGAATATTAGTATCACTTTACCTGCTGTCAAATCATGATACCATGGATTATAAATAGCATTCACATAAAATATAGCTAAACATGGTATGTAATCATTTTGTTGATTTGGTGTAGAGACGCAAATAACATCATTTTTAGTAACATTTTGTTTTTTCAACCATAAAGCACATCTGATACTGCGGTCTTTGATTTCAGCAAATGTCGTTTTTTCTCCACTCTGTACATCAATCTATATCAAAGGAAATATTAAATTTGAACGGAACATAGTTACATGCCTTTTTTTAACGTAAATTAAAATAATATGAATCTGATAACTACTTGACCAACGAAATTTGGGTATCTGCTTAGTGAATTAAGAACGAGTTCTGAAATATCTCTAGTTTCCTTTTCATCGTAATCATTTCCAATAAGCATATTATCTTTTATCGTAAATGTCAGTCCTGTCTATAATTGTTTAGTAAAAAATATATGTATAAATCAATTGATACATGTTGTTATTTCAAAGCTTGTGCATTACAATCAGACCTGTTCCGAAAAATTTTCTCTGACCATTATTACGCTTTTAATGATAAAACTTGTAGATTATAGTGGTAGTTATGTTTTCTCTGATGATGACAAGATTATTTGAGTTAATAAGAAAAGTATTTTACAATTCTTCAAAATCCTTTACGTACAACAATAATTTTGTTTTGTTATTAAATAATTATATCCTTTCGTTATTGAAAGCAATTAAACTCTTTATTTCCACACATCACCCTTTAATTTTAACAATAATTGTTATAAAAATAGCGTATTATTGTAACTTATTTCGACTAATTAGTATAAAATCATTGATACTTAAAAACAGTGAATGCTCTAAGACTTCATTTCGCGACTATTAATAAGTAACTGACTTCTATTGTTGCAGGTTTATTACTTACATACCAGTTCAATTGATTCTGAATGAAAATTTGATTGCTATCTAAAAACTTATCTTATCACACTCATTCATCTGTGAAAGTAATCAATAATTTCATCTGAATTAAGTGTGCATAACATTCTCAAACTTTCCTCAGATAAATACAAGTCAGTTGCAGCTTTCGAATTTTCGATAAAAACATTGTTATCGATGTGCATCATATTATGCTCACGTGCTTTTGAAATAAAACAAGTTTGAAGAAAACAAAAATAATCACATTCATAAGGTATTCAATATGCTTTGCTATTGCAAAATTTTTCCATAATTTAAAATTAATGCAAATACAGTTGAATAATGTGATAATTTCAATGCTAATGGTTTTTTGCGTAATATCTTGATTCATTTCATTGTAGTGTAAAGATCAAATATGGACTTTTTCGTATTAAATTATACATAGTAGATATTATTTTTAGAAAAACATGCTTTAACATGAATAATACAATGATAACACAATATGGACCAAGGCTTACGTATGAAAACGCTTGTTTTTAAAATTCAAAATATTGATTTTTGAAAACGTTTCCAAGGTATACAACCTATACACATTTAAATAGTAATATCTTTGAAAGCTATTTCACCTGCGAATGAATAATGTATAAGGAGAACTAAGGCTATGAATATTTAAAAACTTTATTCGCAAATCACTTAAAAAATCGTTAGGAAAAATATTCAAATTCTTTTTATGTTTTTAATATACTAAAGAGAATGTGAAAGAATTATTATAACTGCTAAAAAATTTAATTTGCAATAAATTAAAAGTGTGTTTTATTTATTTTTTAATTATTTTAATTTTAATTAAAAGTGTGTATCAATTACATGAGCAGATGGTAGCAGAGCTCCCTAAAAAATTTAGATTCAAGAATCAAAACATTTTCATTAATTAGAATCGAAAAGACCATTAAACTATATCTGAAACCTCCACTGGTATTATGATTAAATTTTCACAATGAAAATAAAATTTTTCACTATAAGTTTTAATAATTTTTTTATTGGATGTCGTACCGTGAAAATTCTAGAAATTCTGTCAAAGACATCGAGAGGATACAGGAGTATGATGACTGAAACAAAGAGAGTTGCAGTTTAAAGTTTTCGCAAAAGTTGTGATCAATACGAAATATAGACTGTAATGAATTATTTTTTTCCAAACACAACTTTATAAATAGATAATTTTCATAAATAGATCTGCAGCTGAAGCATTAATTTACAGATAACTTAATTTGTAATTAATTTGCAATGTATGTCTTGTTGATATAAGAATTAGAGTATGAGAATTTCTAATGTCAAATAAAATTATTAGTCAGTAACAAAATCATTCGAAGTCATTAAAATGTAAAATACATATTACTTGAAAAGGTCGATCCGTGGAATTCATGCACAATAAAGATGACAAATTGTCCTCTTTTATATTTTGCAGGTCGGCTGGATGCGGAAAAAGACGCCAGCGAAGCTCAGCTAATGTGGGGAGCGTGCCAGACTTTGGCCAGAGCGGTGAAGGCGGCGCCGCCAGGAACTGCGCCCGAAGAGGCACTAAGACCGCTCGAACCGGAAATTAAGGCCATTGCCAAGGCGGCACGTAAGTCTATTGTCTCTTTTATCTTTTAGTTTGGATACATTTGAATAATTGCTCTCCTCTCTCTCCTCTCTCTCTCTCTCTCTCTCTCTCTATCCATTATACATCGATTAGATTTTAAATAAATAAACAAAACAAAGAGACTATTAGAACTGCAGAAAACCGATTTTTATGAAACTTTAGGTAACCATGTTTTAAGGTATCATCTCATAGGTGTTTCTATGTACCATTGCAGTTCAAATTGTTATTTATGTATTAATTGCAAAGAATGTTGTTCAAAGCTATCATTAAATCGCCAAATATAATATATCGATTGCTCGCAAGAGGACTGCAACGATAATGATGATGAAAAAGAATTGGGAATTCGCAGATTTCAAAGTATACCTTAGCGCTTCAGAGCCGGCAGCTGAGATAATAGAATTATGAAAGAAAGGTGCGCGTACGGTCTACGTAGAGAAGCACTTGTCCCGTCAGTAAAATCCTCGTGTAAAAACAAACGGGAAACAATTAAGCGCGAACAATGCAAGACGACGGAAAGGAAAACACAACACAGAACGGCCTCGTGAAAGCGCATACGCGCGTTTCAACGGTGCCCGCTGGTGAAAAATGTCCTCGTAAAAAAGCTGGCTCTTTAAATTTCTTCGCAATTTTTTGTTTGTTTTTTTTTTGTCCTCCACTCAACTATTTTCGCTCTCGAAACAAAAGAGTCTCGCGCGTCTAATCGCCGCGCCTGCGTTAGCCGAGGGAGACAGATAATACTCGCAAGAACGCGTCACGCGCCCAGAAATTTACGAGACAGTTCTCCATATCGCGCAGTAAAGTGCAACTTTCTAGGAGAAACCTCGGGGAGATTATACGCTTGGCGAGATGATATCGCCGAGTCATTCGAATCTTTTCATCGCGAATTTCGAAGACTAGTGTATATAGCACACGCGATGTTTACTGCTCTGTCAGCGGAGTTATCGCTGAAAGCACTTTACGTCGTCGTGGTTCTGACCTGAAAAAGATATATGCATCTTTTGTATAACGTGCAAGTTGTTCCGCTCTATCTATACTAGTAACGCCTAAGTCATTTTTTAAGTGTAATTACTCATTAATTCTTCTATCTACTAATAAAATTCATGCATTGACAAAAGTAAGTATTCAGGGATAAAAGTAATATTCGGAAATGGTATACTCGTCAGATAGTTTTAACGCTAACACGATTGGTCAGACAAGCACGTGGGAGAGTGAGAGAGAGAGAGAGATCCGAGCTGAGAGATTTGGGGAAGATAACGTGAATGGAACATGAATGCCCATGAGAATCAAAATTTATCTCGGGGTTTCAGCTAAAGATGACGCATTCGTAAGCGCAGCGATCAAGGGAATTCCCACGGAGGCTGTCAAACGTGGCGTTTATCCTGAGGATGCTTTGAGAGAGAGGTTCATAAAGGTATGCACTAATACATCTATACGTATAATATCTCTTATCGTCAATTGACATTCAATTTCAGTCATTTAATTTCATCAGTCCCATTTTCCTTTATATTTTCATTTACAACAATTCGTGATATAACAGTACAATGTATATCTTGTTTGTTAATTTTAAGATAAATAGTCGAGACATTTTTTAACTCGTTGAATATACATTATGGAGTTATGAACTCATAAATCACAATAAAATTTCGCAGTTAACAGGCGTGATTTAAATTGCCTTTTTGCGCGCAGTCAAAAACGAAAAGGCATGGTGCGGCAGGAATGCGCACTGAAATTGATGATGATCTGATATAAAATCCGAGATCTGATACTTGCGAGCGCGTGTAATTTATTGTTTCCAAATATTCATTTAGGCACTTGGCCACTTTAATGGGCAATAGTTCGGGTGACCTAGAATTGTGCAATTTCATCAAACTGAATCCGCCAATCTGTTGGATTGCCGAGCGTAAATCGGATCAAATCTAAAATATTTAACTGCCTCGCTATTTTATTGATCTCTTCTCATTATTCCTTTGATTGGTCTTCCTCTCGTATGGAATAATCGATGCGCGCTGAATTGCAATACGCAGAAGCATTCTATTTTCAATCTGAAACAGTTGGTTTTGGGGTAATTCGATTGGAAATTGCCGCTCCGAAATTACACGGCTGGTGAATCCAAAATTATTAATCCCCACACCGAAGCTCATCTATTTTAATGACGTCCGTCGTATCGATGCCGCAAGTCATGTAAGCCTTATAAACGTGTAATAATGACCAGCATGCATTCAAAGCAGCAAAGGCAACGGATCTATTTCAAAGTGCTAAGTTGGGCATTAAATTGTTGTTGCGAGCAAGGATATTGAGTTTTGAAAGAATACTTTGCGCGCGCTTCAATGAAACTCTGTAAAATAGCTCCGGCAGCGAGCAGGGAACAAGGGGGAGAGACAAGAAAACTAGCGCGATGCACCGAAAAGCAAAAAGCGAAAACAAGGCACAGAATCTGCGCGGTTTTTGTGGTGGGAAACGTAATAACAATAACGGATGTTTCTCTTTCTCTCTCTCTCTCTCTCTGTTTCGGTGTCAGGTGGAGCAAATGGCCAGGAAGCTGGCATTGGTGCCGGAGCAGGGAGCCTCACTGCCTCTCTACTTGCTGAGCTATCTGCAGAGCTTCCTGTTGGTCAAGGCGGCCAGTCCCATACCCAAGCACGAACTCGACGACAAGCCTATCGACGTCGAGTCTCTCGACACCTACGGGGTACTACAGCGAGCCAGGTAATGTCTGACATTTTACGATTTCTCTTCGATCGACACTACAACTTTATCCCGTCCTTTCTTGCTTTATCATTCTGCCGAGGCAGCGCGTCTGGGTTATAATACGCTGACTATGTACGCCGAGCGTTGGGAATATCGTGACGGTTCTCGCTTGATTGGCTTCGTTAAGCACCGAGGACCAAATTGCAAAATCACTTTATGGCTTATCCAATTTTTCATTTAACAATATAAAACTTGACGATCTGAATACAATAGAATGTTATCTGCAGCTATAGTTGAACGGTGAAAAATTGCGAGCGGAACTAGATTGAACGATATTGGCATTACTCATAGCGAGTTTCGCACTAATGCCATGACTCACAACGGAATTCTCGCACGGTTTGCAAAACGAACTTTTGCAAACCTACGTCTTACCAACAGTTGAATTAATCGGAAGCCCATCGCCCAGTCTATAACGCGGCCACGGTCAATTCCAGAGGCTGGGCGAACAAAACGATGGTGCGCATTCCTCTGGCATGTGAGCACAGTAATGGCGCGAATACAACTGCTGACACACCAGCGATTGCTTTAGCTTTTCTTTGATTGGTGGCTAAGTTTCAATTTGCCTGCTCTCGTCTACCGAATGTACCAATTCATTTTAATAAAACGCCTCTGACCACTTCTGTAAGATTTTACACTCCGCAAGTATGATTCGAAATTTGCTATTTTCCCTTCTCAGATTCAGTATCTGCCGAGTGATTAGTTAAGAGAGTTAAGTACGAAGTGGAAACGAAAGCTTTTAGAAAATTTGCCGGGTGTGGTGGGTGTGTGTGTACGTGTATGTATGTCGCGGTCGCACATCTGGCTCTGCGATAGAATTGCGTGTCGACGCGCGCTGTAAAAAGCTCCACCTAATCAAATGATCCGCATGGCTTGAGGAAAGGTTTTGGCCTTAATTTCATCAGTTTTAAAGCTTAGCGCAGCCGCTGTTGTTGCTGCTGCCGCTGCTGTCGCTAGCCTGAGTGAATTAAGCGATTTCTGCGGTCAGAAGCTCCGGCCGCGCGCCACGCCCACGTTGTGAATTTCTTCAATAAAAATACGAATATTTTTATCCATCGAACGCCCATTGTAAGCTTGGAGCAGTTATCGGAATAACAAAATCATCCTTTCCACCCTGCTTCGGAATTTCGTTGCAATTCATATTAGTGCTTCAAGCTTTCATATCATTTTCTGCTCAACGTCATTATCGTGCTCTGCGTAAAAAGAACTCGCGCAAGTAACTTCGTCTTCATAACACGTTCAACATTAATTAAAAAAGAGTGTTTACTGTATTCTAATTATGCGAGGAGAAAGTAAGAGTTGTGGGTGTTGGTTTCATTGCCGCAAAGAAGAAGAGCGAAGCTTTAGTTGCTTTTTTAACGCGTTGGTCTTCCAATATACGTCAGCGTGTGTAGATAGAAAGTTGGAAAGCAACCAACCGCAAGCTACTCCGGCTGTACACGCAGTCGACACCTGACTCGCAGCTTTGAATCGTGTTCTGTTCCCGACGGGCTCTACCTCCACCCCCCCCCCCTGTTTTCCTTTTGTTTCGTTTTTTTTTCTCGAGGCGTCGCGCGCATTTCCGTACGTTTTCAATGCCTACGCGTCCTTTTTCATCCGACTGTTGCCGTGCCGCTGAGCAAATTGTACGCGGAAGCCCGGGCCAACTCGTTCTTTTGCGCGGCAAAGAAAAAACGAGTAGCGAGTTGGTGATGAGGATGGACCGGCAGCAGAAAAAATAACAGTGTTACGACCGTACAGTCGCAGCTGGAAGCGTACCAAGGTGAATCTCGGTTAGTCGCAATGGATCCAGTGAGCCACAAAAACTGCGCGCGCGGGCATCGAAGAAAGCGCAGGACTCAACGACGTGATTGCAAGGCGGCCTTCTTTCAGCGTTCCTCTCGCATGTGTGTGTGCGTGTGTATCGCAGGCAACGGTCGCAAACAGTTAACTGTTTTCGCTTTACCGGCGACCGTCAGTTTGATTTATAGTCGCGCGACGGAAAAAGATTCGCTATCTTCTCGGCTGGTTTCGAGGCATTTATCATTGGCACCGCCGCAACAGTAACCTCCGAAAGTCCAATCACACGGCCTCTCGACTTCACCACTGCTCGATCGGCCGCGAATAAGAGCATCAAGCGCGATTTGTCTTACTGACGTACGAATTTTCATTTCTTCCGTAATACGCTCATCGGGTTATGTTTGAATCCTCCACTTTCATCCTTCTTGTGCTCTCTTTCTCGTGCGACTGCACTGCCGTCAAACCTCGCAACGATGAAATATTACCTCTAGGATCGACTGCATTTGTCAGAATAATAGTGCTAAAATCTTTTCGTCAATCGTACTTTCGAGTTCCACGCTACGTCTATTTTTCAGAGTAATAAAACGACACGTAATGACATTTCCGTGCTCAATTACCCCAACGCAATGAACGACCTATATATGTGTACTATCAATAGAATATTGAAATGAACGTCAGGGAATTCGCTAGATTGTGCTTGTCTGCTCGTTCGAGCTACATGTAGTCGCGACAGATGAGAATATCGCGATATTTATCGAAATAATTGATGTGAACTATACGACAATATTCAATAGTTGTGTTTGCAAATAACAATCCACATGCCTTGCTCACAACTCTCTCTTTTAGTCTCTCTAGCTGCAGCTATTTACTTGTATTGCTAATGCAAACGCGATCGATCGTTACACAATGACTGACTCGCGCATCACATAAATAGAAAGCACGCTCGATTGTGTATGTGTGTCTGTTGCAGGTATTGGCTGGACCGAGGTGACTTCAAGATGACGCTGCGTTACATGAACCTGCTGGAGGGTGCACCGCGCAGCGTCGCACGCGACTGGATGAACGAGGCGCGAATATTGCTGGAGACGCAGCAGGCTATCGAATCGCTCGTCGCTTATGCTGGTGCCAATAGCCTTGTGTTCATGGACGGCGGTGCAGAGACAAAAGTACATACACCAGTTCTTAACCACCAGTATTTATAGCGAAATTCAAGAGACTTCTTCTTTCTCGCTGCATCTACATACTCATTACTGTCGATCACAGAATTATTGTTATTTAGTTGTCGTGGTTTTGAACTTGATCTTAGATGAACTTTTTCTCGAGGAAAAACCCGCTTAACAAAAATAGCCTGTCGCTATCGAGCCTTCAAATTGTAAACCAAAACTGATCAGGCAAGAAAGTTAAACGTTTGATTTAGGAGTAGGAGCGATTTGCTTACTGCTATAGCTATTGAAAGCTAGGATGGAAACTAGAATGAAGTCAGGTTTAATGTTGTATACATGTGCATGTATATGTGTTACAGGAAAAGTCGGCGAAAAAGTAGCGCAACTCCGGGGATACTTGCATTTGGGAATAGAACAATAGAGCGAAGAGAAAAAAAACAGCCTGGCGCAGCAGCTCGAAGGACAAATGAGCCAGTAGCCTTAATTGTACAGTCACCGTCTCTTTTTAGTAAATTGCATTCGAAGGGAGAGGAAAGAGAAATGCAGCCGATCGCTCGAATGAATTTTTATCCCAATGATAAATATTTGCACATACGTCAAACTGCGATTTCACATACCTATCTAATTAATTTTTTTGGTCATGACTTCCGAGTTAGCGTTCGTCTTAACTTGAGCAAACAAATTTCAAGCACTTGTTACCTGCCGTATGACGATTATCAATTTCTACGTATGGTATCTACGTACGTGACATTCTACTTTTGTCCCGTGGTTGTACAGCAAACTCGAACATCCCAAGGAGCGAGCGTTTCGTTTTCGCTGTAGAACCTCTTACAGTTTGTTTTTCTGCCTCCTCCCTACTTAGGCGACAACGTGTTCATTTTTAAAGTGAAAAGATTTAACTATTACTTGACTATTGTTTATAGAAATAAAATTCAAATTATACATAGTTGCCGATTGTAAATGTCTTTGTCTGCAAATGACACACTGTGGAAGAATGAAAATTGCAATGAAAGGAAATTTTAAAAAAATTTAACAAGCCTGTTTCTTTTTGTAGCACCAAATATCCTTTCTATCATCTCTTATCAAAATCCATGTCATTTCGTATAATCTACGCATAAAGTTATATTCAGTTACTATTGTACTCCACATAATTTTTTTATTTTATTAAATAAGGCTATCGCTTGTTACATTTTATTTGAAGATTAATTTTTGTATTTCATGATTGAAATAATAAAAATAGTTATAATGAAAATCATAATGCCATTCTCAATTGTCAATTTGAAGTTTCAAATCCTGTTAACTTTCAATTTAAATATAATTACTATTTAAATTTTTATACAACATTTTTTACAATTATTTCTAAATTACAAAGATTAGAAAACATCACAATAACACTAGGTATCATGCGATTCGTCAATTAATTTATATGCTTTGTTTGAACTAGCAGGTTTAATTAAAACTGTTCAATTTTATTATATTTTTCCAATGTCTTTGTTAAAGGCTTTTATGTATATGTTTTTGGCTATTACGTTTCCAACCACGTGGAGGTCCCAAGCTGTATCGTTGTTTTGTAATACTACTGAAAGTATTCTAATGGAATAGTACGTTGCGCTACGAGGGAGCAGAATGCGTGTTTGCCAGAGAGTGCGCTGAAGTTGAACGAGTCGGCAAGCAAGTGTGCTCCCAAGTAGCATATACTAATCTCATACAAACAGCGCCAAATATTATTTTTAAAGGAAAACAAATCACAATGTATAGAATATAAATTTATTATTTTTTGTCCCCAATTACATTAATTGTGATATTACAATTATGAAAATCAAATGGGGATTTGTTACCTCTCAAATTAAAACCCAAGGATATGGAATATCTGATTTGCTTCCTCGCCTCTGTTGTGTGTGTGTGTGTGTGTGTGTATGTATGTATGTATGTGTGCAGTTTCCAAATCATCTGAAATTTGAAGCGTCGTTTCAACGTCTTCATTACTGTAGTTGGATTTTAAATAGTCAACTTTAATAATTTAGCACATTTAGGTAGAGGTTGCACAAAATCACCACAATTTTGTCGTTTTTTGAAGCCGTAAAGCTCAATAGTTTTAAATTGATTTGATCTGTTTTTTATGGGCCAACTTTTTGCTCTAGTCTTGATGCTCTAGTCTGGTAATGTACGCTAAAAGGAAATACTTGTAAAAGGCATTAATCTACAGGAGAGTTTATACTCAAACAAAAACAAAATTTTTTTCGACAAAAAATTAAAAGAACAGAGTTTTCTACTCGATGGGTTGGGTTGGGCTAATAGATCACTTAATGCTTAACTTGACTAAATTTGCTTCGGTGATAAAAAAAGGAAAGATTAAAAGGGAAAGACCTTGCTACTCGATGGAACTCTCTGATAATAGCAGAGTTCACAATGTACCCTTTTGAAAGCTAATGACTGCCCACCTCTGAAAGATAGAAAGCGATGAGCGCTCCGCTAGGACAACTGTAGCGCACCAAAGGGCTAGCGGCGTCTCTATTTCTTTCAATCGAATACTTCTTGAAAAATCAAATCTTTCAATAAAACGAATAAAATGATATTTAAGATCGAGAGGCATTGCTTCCCACCATGCGTGGCCAACCCTTTAACTCTTCGAGAGAGAGACACCAGTGACTTTGTCCTAAAACATAGATATTTATATTCCTTATTTACTGGCGGCTGGCTCCATACTCTATGAAAAAAGTGGCACCTTTGTACTGAAACACACACACACACACACTACGTTTTACAATACGTGTACAAACGTTTGTACGCATATTATAAAACGTATTGTATACTCCGATTTTCTCTCTGAATTTATTTGTATTTTGGTCAAACGTAATAGGAAAATTACATGGGAACGTTTCTAACCCTCCGCCTTCGATTTTGCTGCAATTGGGATGTTATAGCTTATTGAAAAATAAAAGACACGTGTTTTTTTATCGATGGAAAAATCTTTCTAAGGGATGAAAGCCATCCTCGAAAATCACCCCTTAGAGTAGTTTTCTATTAATATTTTTGGCTTCTTTTAATATTTTTCAATGAAACAAAATGGAAGTCAGTTGTTTTTTCCTAAGTAAATGTTTACGTTTTTGTTGCATTGACAAATATTGATAAAAACCAAAAATATTCTGAGGAGTGATTTTCGAGCGTGGTCTCACCCCTTAGAAAGCTTTTTTCTGCCGATAAAAAAATACCTATCTTTTATTTTTCAATAAGCTATAACATATCCCAATTACAACAGAATCGAAGGCGGAGGGTTTCCTTGTTAGTTCACTAACAATTGGTAGGTATTTTTCTGAAGTTGATGGTTGAATTTTAATTTTGTTTTGTCTTATTACTTTTAGCGTACATTTTGCTATTTCGTTCAATAGTTTTTCTAATGAACGAATATCCTCAACGTTGTGGACAAAAGTCAGAGGGAATTTACTTTTCAATGTATTTGCCTCATTGTTCACCGTATCTTCGTTCTCACTTTGATTTTCTTTATTATTTTGCAGAGTTTCGTATTTATTTTTTGATTTACTTAATCAGTAATCCGGTCATTGGACTAATTAGTTTTTGTTTAAATTTTGATTGTCTAGGCTGTTTCGCGGTCTTTTACACCACTTACCATTTTCTAGTTTTCGTCGTTATTTTTGTTAGGAGTAGACAAAGCTTCTATCAAAGTGACCATTTCGGCTGTTATTGCCTTTTTATTATGTATTTATAAAATGCTAATAAAATTAAATGTCACTTTATTTGATAGACTAATACTTTAGCTTTTCGGATAGAGCAATGTTGGCACGTCTGTTCACCTCGATGGTCAAACGTTGAATGACCAAGAGATCATAATTTTCAAAACTGGAGACTATTCTGTTTTTTTTTAAGGAGCACATAAAGTAAAGTCTCATTAGGAAATTGACAAACAAATTGATCGGTTTCTAATGTTGAACGTCTGATGAAACTTGATGAAATGTTGTGTAAAATTTACGAGTTTACACTATCGAATCATTAAAGAACAAAGAGACTCGGACTAGAAGAATGAGTTTACATGCTCAATCAAAGAATATGTCTTAGATATAAAACAAAAAAAATCGAAACAAAGTAAAGCTAGAAAAGAAAAAAATCTGTTTCATGCATAAGCGAAGAAAATGAGTCGATGATTGATTCATACAAATAAAGTTTTGCAGATTCATTCGCCACTGTTTCAAAATTGTCTGAATATTATCCACCAGAAGAAGTATAAAAGTATGTAATAGTAATAAAATATGTGATCATGACAACGATATGCATTCGTTATTAAGTTGGACATTCTTTTTGAATTACACAATGGTGTACTTGTGACAGTAAAAAAAGTGTGCAAAACAATTAGAATAGATGTTACGTATAAGTGAAGCTGACAAGAAGAATTCTAAAGTTATGCACAAGAAATAACAATTCTAATAACTTATTTCTCAAAGATTATGAAAAATTTACTCTAAATGATTGATAATCAAACGAACTTATCTTTACGTGAAGTTCGATTATAATTATATCTAGTCCTTGCTTAAGTACGTTAAACATAATATAGTATCCTTCCTGTTCACAGTGGTAGCACACGCTTTAGAGTACTTACTCTTATCCTGTTCCCATGCCCCTTGACTAATTTAAAAGTAAGAAAGTAGGCTATGAATAAATTTCAAAACCATATTATAAAGAAAATAAGAGGGAAGATACTACGTATCATCATGGGTTAGAAACAATGTATTCAAGCAAGGTCTACGTACAATCATAATCGAACTTTACGTACAGATAAGCTTGTTTGCTTATTAATTAAATGTTCTTGTTCTCCTACATTAGATATAATCTAGTTGTTTGGAGTATCAAACGAACTTTATTTACATAAGAATTATAACTTATTTTACAACAGACTTAACAAAATCGAACCAGTTTGAAACAATTGGTCTTTAGTAAAACTTCATAAACACTTGAGATTTCTCAGATAAACTTGTGGCTGGTCTTATAGTATCGAAGTCGATTCCATTTTCAGACACCGCCGAAGTGGCAGCGTACCTAGTCGAGTGAGCCGAAAAGATTGATATATATCAACACCACTGACTTAAGATTTATTTAACCTATATAATTTTCTTAATTGCACGTAAAAAATGTGTAAGCACCCTGATGTAACTAGATTATTAAAAGTAGTTTCTAATTTGAGATCACTAAAGCCAAAATGTTCTAAAACTTGGAACGTATCTTTAGTTTTCAATTATTTAGAAGATTCGACTACTTTGCAAGGTTTTCTCATCGAAATGAATAATTGACTACTATTGTTTTTAAGGCTCGTGTTCACTTTGCATAAAGTTTCAGCATCGATACAACCCGCAAACTAGGCTTTTATCTAAATTTTGATAATTTCAAACACGGCTAAAGTATATCTGGGCCCGATGTCTGTATTGATTCTAGGACCATTTTTACTAAGCTATTAGTGTCTTTTTTTATATTATTAATATTTAGTTTTAAAATAGTTTGAACTCTTTGAGCTCTACTTAAAGCAAGTAAGATAACTGCTTTTAACGTTAAATTTTTTAAATCAGCAACATCTATTTTTTCTAATTAATTTAAAACTAAAGATACATTCCAAGATATAGAGTATCTTAGCTTTGGTGGTTTCAATATAGAAACTTCTTTTCTAAATCTAATTACATCAAGGTGCTCATCGATATTTTTTCCGTAATGATTAAGAAAAGTGCGCTTCTTCAGAATTTTCAGTGCCATAGGATGCACCATTAGAAAAAAACTCAAATAAAAATTTCATAACTACCATAGTCAGACACGCTTCGCCTACTATCTTCCTTTTCATTTCTTATTATACTGATTATTTAACGCTACATATTTTATATAAATACTTATTTTAAAAATGGATTTTTTAAAACACATATCATAGCGGAAAAATATATATTAGTAAACAGTTCCACATTTCCAAATACATAATTTATTATATAAAAAACTGCAATAAATAATTTTTTCAACTACACGGATCTAATTATTACTAAACGTTATTCCTACTCTATGAATAAATATTACGACTTTACATTTATTTCAATCTTACACATTTAATAACCAGATTATCGATTAGTCATAGAAAATAACAGGAACAACTTCATATCTGGTCACATAACACACACACACTGGTCTACGATTTCAAGCTTTTCGTAG